GCCTCATTGAATTCTACCTTTCTTTTGACAAAGATGCTCTCCTTGGCCAAATTTTAGTCGGGTTCCTCTGAGCCTCCTCTCCACTAGGCCTCAACTTTGGCCTATCAGAATTTCATCTCTTAACACAAACAATTTTGTCCACCCCATACAGAGAGACTTGAAAAAAACAAAAATCTAACATAGCTTTTAGCAGCCTAAGACCCCTGTGTCCTTGTGATGACCTGGCCCCTCCTTGAGTATGAAAAAACTCAAAGCTGCCAAAAGAATTTGCCATTTGTTCAGTCAACATCTGCAGATAGGTGCCTGACCTCCATTTTCTTAGAGCATTTATTTAAAAACCTTACTGTTGTAAATCCGTTCTCTGCGCCTTTGAGATGTACGTATATCTCCTAGAACCCATGAATACCTTTCCCAAGGACTGAGAGCCCTTCCTCTGAAGTGTAGTCATCAGAAAGAACAGGGTCCCTGTGTCCCAGAGTCTGTGAGAAGATGGGAGCCTAACCTGTGTAAGTTACCAGACACAGATGGCATAATCACACTGACATTGACCACTTACCCACTTTTTCTAATTTTCCACTTTCTTGACAATGCTCAAGCCCCACTTGCTCCCCCTCCCTGCTCCCTCATTCTCTCTTTAAAAGGCCAAGTCACCTCTGCACAAATCAGAATCAAGCTACTAATTTTCCCTGCTTCAGTAAAACTGAATAAAATCTGTCCTTCTGACTATTAACTAGTGTCCAGCTTTGTTTTTCTTTAACACTTACTGGTAATGTTCCTGGTGAGATGGAGCCTTGGGGTTGCTATCTCAGAATCAACAGGGACTCAGAATTAAAAGGCAGCCTACAAAGGCAAGCAGGAGGGTGATTGTTCGGCTGTCATCCAACAAGGCCTGGATCTAGAATTTTCCCTTGTTTAGGTACAGAAGCCCTCAGGAGGCAGAAGGCTTCCTATCCACTTGACAGCATAAATTAACAAAAACTAATACAAGAAGAAACTTAGATCTTTGAGTTCTGAAAATATCCTGGAGGGCAGAGGTGTAGACACAATCAATTAACATTCTAAATGAAATTAAAATCCAAAGAGAGGCCTCAGCTTCCTCATCTGTATAGCCCTTAATTACAGAAGGTGTGAGGGAAGGGGCTATGCAAATAAAATCACTAGTGGGTAGGTCCCAACTTCTTGAGACTTGAAGTATGAAGAGACCAGCAGAGATAGTCCGGACGTGACTAACAGATCGTTACACTCACACATTACACAGACCCCGTGTAATCACTTTTTGCGCATTATCTCACATGTACCATTATTGTCCCCATTTCACAGGCAAGAGAACCAGGGCTTACAACAGGCTGTGGGGGGCCTGAGTAGGCCAAGGTCCTAGTAAGGCCTGTTTGTCCAGGGCTACCCAGGGAATGACAGATGTCATTTCAATGCTCACGTAGTTACAGGAAGAAAAAGACTTTAGGAATATCCAGACACCCACCTGAATTATTCACGGGGTCATTGTTGTCAAGGCAAACTCCTGAGGAAAGCATCTCAGTGCTGGGGCCTGAAGCAGGGCCCTGACAAGGCGTCACTCTCGTTGGCTTCTGCAAATCGCATACGTTCTGAAATCCATGTTTTTCGAGGAACAAATGTCATTCCTCAAGATCAGCCAGGAGTTGAGAATCTCTCATCACTGATACTGCACTCAGGTCATTTTGACTATTGGTCTGAAGTTCGAAGCAAAGCAAAACGAAACAATATGCAACACAGTATCTGCACTAGGAACTATGTTAAAGGTCAAATAATAACTCATTTAATCCTCTCAAACCCATAATGTGAGTATTTGTTATCATGACAATTGAAAAGATGAGAAAGCTGAAGCACAGAAAGGTTAAGTAATTGCCCAAGGAGACACAGCAGATAAGTAGCAGAAATAGGATTCAAACCCAAGCAGTCTGGTTGCAGATCCCTGGCAAGTGTCAGAGAGAAAGAAACTTTCCTCTACCCTCAAGGTTCTGTTGGCTATCTTAATAATCAAATAGACATGAGACAGATTAACAAGGGAAAAATAACCATATTTAATACATATGTAGGGGAACCCCGCATACATGAGAGAGTCACAGACCCCACACAGGAGAGGTGCAGAGATAGAAAGGGAACATGGGTATTTAAGACACTCTGAGCTAGGGATGAGGTAAAATGCCGCGGGGGACTTCAAAGGATGATAAGAAGAGCAGATGTTGTAGTAAATAGAAGTTTGCACTGCCCTGTAGGAAGGTCAAAAGAGATTATCTCTGATAATCTCTTCTTGTGGGCAAGGTCCCTAATTCAAATTCTTCTAGGTAGTTAAGGGAGGGGCAGAAGTTCCTCTTGAGCCCATGCCTAAAGTTGCCTTTAGCTCAAACAATGGGCATACCACAGAGGTACACCTTGGGATGACTCATTCTGAACCCCCACAAAAATAACTAGGACATGACACAGCCTGCCTGAGTGAGGAGGGTAGGCATCTGGGTGGCATCCCACCTGAGTCCTGCTGGGCTTCCTCTCCTCCAGGCCTTTGGTCAGCTGAAAGAGTTATCCAAGCTCCTTCACTGTCAAGTTCTCCCTCTGGAACGCTGCTCCTGCATGGTCTGAAAGATGTCCCAGTTTTGAAAGATGAACTTTTTAAAAATGCTGAAAATGGGAGATGAGATGATGAGTCTTTCAGCCAATGGCAGATCTCTGGGCCCTCCCGCCCTTTTCTATGCTGTATCCATCTGCTCTGGTGGCTAAACACACTAGAAAGTCATGTAGTGGGCCTACTATAAGGTGGAGAATAGGAAGTATGGAAGTAAAGGTGCTGGCGGGGTTAGTTTCTTCTGAGGCTTATTTCGTTGCCTTTAGACAGCCTCCCATCTTGCTGTGTCTTCACATGGTCGTCCCTCTGCGTGTGTCTCTGGACTAATCTCTTCCTATAAAGACACCAGTCACATTGGATTAGAGCCCACACTATTATTCTCATTTTAATTTATTACCTCTTTACAGATTCTATCTCTAAATACAGTCATAACAAACATACTGGGTTATGACTTCAGCATATGAATTTGAGGGGGACACAATTCATCCCATAACAGGATCCTAAGGAAATGTACAGGCTGGAATTATGTGAGGTTTCAAATTGCTAGGAGAAAATATTGTATACATACCAGAAGGTATAAACAATAATATAAAACATACAATGTACTCACTGCCCAACTGCTCAGCTTAAGAAATGAAACATTTTCAATACGGTGGGAGCCCCCTGTGTAACCTTCCCAGCCATGGTCTCCTCCCAGCCTCCAGAGGTAATCTTATCTAGAATTTGGCACTTCTCCGTTCCCTACATTCCTTTATACTTTTACTACATGCCTGTGCATCCTCAAATGATATATAATTCTGTTTGTGTGCGCGTGTTTTAAACTTTATGTAAATGGGAACATTCTCTATGCTTTTTTTAAATTGAAGTGAAATTCACATAGCATACAATTGACCATTTTAAAGTGTATGATTCAGTGGCATTTATTGCAGTCACAATGTTGCACAACCACATCTCTTTAGTTTCAATTTTTTTCATCATCCCATAAGAAAACCCCATATCCATTAAGTAATTCCTCTCCATTCCCCTCTCTTCTCACTCCCTGGCTACCAGAAAGCCACAGCTTTCTGTCTATGGATTTGCTTATTTGTATTCTACTGTATTCTACTGTATTCTACTGTAACCTTTTGCTCAGACTTTGAGAAATTCATCCGAGAGGTCGCATTTGACCCTAGTTTTTTCTTTTTTAATTCTCATATAATATTCCATCATGAGACTCAATCACAAGTTTTCATTCTTTCTCCTGTTGATGATTAATAAAATTTTTAAAAAAGGATTTTTAAATCAGTATTATATACATGAAAAAATTTTAATTATAAAAAATAAAGTTAAATAAATAAAAGTTAATATTTATGTTGAAAAAAATTGTCACAGGGATGTAAAGTACAGCAGAAGGAATATAGTCAATAATATTATAATAACTATGTATGGTATCAAATGGTACTAGACTTATTGGAGTGAACACTTCATGAGCTATGTAAATGTCTAATCATTTTGCTGTATACCTGAAACTAATATAACATTGTATGTCAACTGTAATTGAAAAATAAATTTTAAAAAGAGGGGAATTCTGACCCATGCTACAACCTTGAGGATGTTACGCTCAGGGAAATAAGCCAAATAGCATATGATTCCACTTATATGAGGTACCTAGATTAGTCAAACTCACAGAGACAGAAAGTAGAATGGTGGTTGCCAGGAGGTGAGGAGAGGGGAAGAATGGGGGAGTTATTGTTTAACAAACATAGAGTTTCTGTTTTGTAAGATGAAAAGAATTCTGGAGATGGATGGTGGCGATGGTCGCACAACAATGTGAATATACTTAATACCACTGAACTGTGTACTTTGAAAAATAGATAAGATGTTCAATTTTATGTTATGTGTATTTGACCCCAGTAAAAATTTTAAAAAAATAAAGAAAATGAATCAATAAGCTATGGACATCGAAAAAAAAATCTTTGCAGCCATATATCTGAGAAAGGAGTTTATATCCAAGACATGTAAAAAGCTCTTACAAATCAACAATAAAAATATAAACACTCCAATTACAAAATGGAAAAAAACTTCAACAGATATTTTACAAAGTAAGATATACAAATAGCCAATAAGCAGTTTTAAAGGGCTCAACATCATTAGTCATCAGGGAAATGGTACTTAAAACCATAGGGAAATACGTCATACATACTAGAACGCTGAAAATCAAAGACTAATGTTCTGGTTATCTTCTGTTGCATAACTTATCATCCCCCAAAACTTATAACTTAAAGAATTACAACCATTTTACTACCTCTCACAATTTCTTTGAGTCAGGAATTCAGGAAGGGCTTGGTTGGGGTTGGCCTGAGGCAAGTCTCTTCTGCTATTGCAATCTGTCCTCAGCTGGATGTGGAAAAGTGGTCGCTGGAGCAGCTGGGGCATCTCTCTGTCTCTTCTTTCACATAGCGTTAAGGTTTCTCCAGGTGGTCTAGTTTGGGATTTCTTACAGCATAGTGGCCTCAGGGTACTTAAGACTTCTTACCAGGAGGCTCAGGTCTCCAGGAGCAAGTCTTGCTAAGAAGGTAGATGCTGTATTACCTTTTATGACCTAGACTAAGAAGTTACAGTCACTTTCACTACATATATTGTTTACAAATGAGTCAACCAACCTACCCAGTTTGAAGGGGAGTGGAATTAAACTCTGTCTCTTGATGTGGGAGTGGCAAGATTCTAGAAAGTCATGTGGGATAAGGTGCTGTTACAGCCATTTCTGGAAAATACAATCTGTGTTGGATAAAGCTGGAAAGAAAAGCAGGTGACAGATCATACCAGGTTTTGTAAGCCACACTAAAGTTCAACCTTGATGTGAATTGTGACGGGGACCCACTAGAGGATTTTAAGCAAGAGAGTGAAATTATTGTCTTAAAAAGTTTATTCTAGCAGCTGTGTGGATAGAGAATTTGAGGGGAGGGTTTGGAAGCAGAGACCATTTAGGAGGGGGGTCCAGAAGCTCAAGTATCACACATGGCGGTCAGCCCTAGCCTAGGTGAGGGCACAGGGAGGGAGGGGAGGCAAGGAAGGCTGTCAGGTTTCTGGCCTGTCCAGCTTTTTTGTTCACTGAGATAGAGAACGATGGAGAAGTAAATTTGTTTTCTGAGACATGTTGGGCTTGAAAGGCCAAGATAGGGGTATGAGACTGGAACTCGAGAGTAAAAAATTTAGGAGAGAACAAATGACATATTTATTTTATGTTTTATTCTTTTTATGGTGACATTGGTTAAGGAAATCCAGTAAGTTTCAGGTGTACAATTTAACAGTAAACTATACACATGCACACACACACACACACACACACACTGCATTGTGTGTTCACCTCCCAGTTAGAGGTGTACAATTTAACAGTAAACTACACACACACACACACACACACATTGCAGTGTGTGTTCACCTCCCAGTTAGGCACAAGAGTGCACGAGATGTGTGTCAGCCCAAGCATTTATAATCTCTCTATTCACTCTTCCCTGTGCACCATCGACTGTAGCAAGGTCTCAGACTGAAACACGCATGTGCACACCTAGCTCAGAGGCGGCTCCTGGGCTGAAGTTTACTGGTTGCGCACGCGCGGCGCGCGGCGGTCGCCATGGAGACGCGTGGCCCTGGCCAGGCGCTCCTCACCCGGAGCGGCCGGCTTGGCTGCAGCGAGTCTTGGGCTGCCTCAGGCTCAGGTGGCCGCCCCGCGGGCGGATGGACGGCCGAGATGGGGCAGGGGCGTCGGGGTACCATGAGGACGACGAGGACGACGAAGAGGAGCCAGAGGACGGCGCTGCGGGCTTGAAAGGATCCAGACTACCTCCCATCCCCGGCAGCGCCTCAGAGCCGACCAAACGGAAGGTGAAGAAAAGGAAGAAGAAGAAAAAGACCAAAGGGTCGGGCAGAGGGGACGGTAAGAGCGACAGCTAGCGCGGCAGCCTCTGCTCCCGTACCTGAGATTCTTCTCCGAGGTCATCCACTCCCACCCCTCAGAGATCCCCATCTGCCTGGGGACTAGTTCAGAACAGCGACAGAAACTCGCCGGTCCCAGAGATCTCCACTTCTCACACATACGACTTATCGCTGCGCGGTGATGCTCATCTCTGCTCATAAAGATCATACAGGTCCACAGAAACCCTCCCCCCAAAAGCAGAGAGACTTCGATCCCGCACCGAGAATTATCAGCATCCATGGAGACCTTTTACCCTGCACAGAAATACCCCACCCGCAGATACCCAGCATCATTCCTACAGAGCCTCGCAGCCCCACACAGCACCTCAGCTTTACATAGACATCCTCTCAATTTCCTAATCCCTCAGCAGAAACTCGCAGTCTTAAATATCCATAACTTCCCCATAGAAATCTCAAACCGTCCTACAGAGATCCCTTTATCTTCACACAGACTTTCCCTAAACCAAAGATATTAATACACTAGTGGCAGGCACTCTTCATGCACAGAAACACAGACTCCTGCCTTCTGCCTAGAATCCCTCGTTGCACACTCACCTGGCTTCTGGATGTTTCGTAGACACCCAGTAAATGTATATAAAGTAGTATCCTCCCTGCACTAACTGTCCTCCCCCAACCCCATCCGCCAAGGTCAGCCTTTGACTGCACACACACCATGTTTGAGATTATAAAAGTACTACATAGTACCTGACATAGTACCAGTACCAGTCAGGTACTATGTAGTACTTTTATAATCCCAAACACTGTCAACAACACTCCATGTGTCAGTATAACCACCAAATGAAACTAAACACAGATACCTCATCGGGCACACACAGTCACAGTCTACACTCACATACAGATAGGTACTCTGTTTCACATGCATAGACCCCCTCCCAAACAGTTTCTGTACACATACAACCATACGCACACAGGTTCTTACTCCAGTCGCTCTCGAGGACACGTCACACACATACATACATTAACCCTGCCACAAACCCGCAGAGTCCCTACATCTCACTGAATTCCTCTCATAGAACTCTTTGATTTCTTAACAGAGGTGCTGAGCATCCACTTTATGGAGAGAGTAACAGTGGCGTAGTACGCCCCTGCCTGTGAGTGCTGAGTCTCCACTGATACCAAGGGTTTGGCTATCAGGGAGGTAGTTCTCATTGACTCTGGCACAGCAGCCCTGACCTCCAATGCGGCTAGTGCTGGGTTCAAGTTTCTGGGCCCTGGCCCTTTGTGTGCAGAGCTGATACCCCAGGCAAGCTGGAGCCAGAATGAGTGGCAACCTTTCCCAGATTTGGGGGAGGAAGCAATGAAAAGCTTATAATTATTTCTTCAGGTGGAATTATAATAAAAAGGCAAGAAAACAATTCTGGAGTACAGGTCAAAAAGCCCTCTATGTGTCTGCAAAACCAAATTAGGAAATTTTTTTTGTCTTTTTTGGCATAGCTTCTGACTCTAGGAATTACAGTGGCATGTACCTCATACTGTCAGCAGGGGACACCAAATCGTTTTCGGGGAGTAGGAAGCCATAAAAATGTCAAAAGAAAATTTTTAAAATTTTCATTTCTTTTTTTTTGTTTGAGGCGGGGAGGATTTCTCTCTCCCCCAAAATAGAAGGATAAGCTGATGAAAGAATCACAACTTATAGTGTTTTATAAGTGTGTTATATAATTCAGGAATGCTATTAATGTAAAAAAAAAAAAAAATCAGTACAAGCCACACAACAGAAGTATTTCCTGGCTTGGCATAATAGTGCTTTCCGCAGTCAAATGTAGGAAGCTTTTTTGTTGTTCTCTATTTCTTCCACCATAAAGAAGTCTAGACTAAGGGTAGAGTCATAGGCTCCTAGAATTGGAAAGTACTTTGGTGAGCATGTGACGAGGTGAAGTGGTAGGCAGCCTGGCACAGTGGAAAGAACAAGGCACTGGAAGTCAGACCTGCATTCAAGTTCTGGCCCTGCCACCTGCTGTGTGGCATTGGCAAGTGACTGAGACTTGTGGAGACTCAGTTTCCTCACCTGGAAAATAGGGCTGATAGTCTTTATCCAGAGGACCTGGTTCATAGTATGTGCTCAATAAATGGTTCCTCCTTCCCCAAAATGGCTTGACCAGAAACATAGTCAGTGGATGTATATGAGGCTGATGAGCTTGGCCACTTGAACCCTAGGGAAGGAGGGGCCTCTATCCTCTTACATCTTTGGTGATTTCAGCATCATCCTCAAGCAGGATGAGAGCAGGCATCACCACAAACACTAACACTGGTCATCTGCTCAGCAGATAAACATCAGAGTCCAGGCTTGAAGAATCAGCAGCTGTCTTCATCTTTTCATGGCATCTTAAGTCCCAGCAAGGATCATGGCCCGAGGCAAGAGCACAGACAGGATAAAGAGGAAAGCAATCTCATCCCTTCTTTCTCCCCCACTGTAAGTCTCCCCTACTTTGCTGAAATAGAAGAGAACCTTTCGAACCAGATCAATGAGAGCCTGCGTTGGGATGGAATTCTCGCAGACCCAGAGGCAGAACAAGAAAGGATTCGCATATATAAACTGAACCGGAGGAAGCGGTACCGGATTTTGGCCCTCAAGGGCTTCCACTCTGACCCCTGTGCGGAGCAGACTCCTGAGAACCTAGCCTACCCTTCAGATAAAGACTGCAGCCCCAACAGCAGGCAGCCCTCAGTCAAAGCTGACCACCCTAATCACTACTTTGAAGGAAATCTTATTCCAAAGCTCCTACACTGTGATTTAGCTACTACTCTGCCCGAATGAAATCCACCCATGATACTGACAAGCTTATAATTTATCCTTACCTCAAGTTTATGCATTAAAAAGAAGACGAATAAAAGGAAATCAGACCTACATCTGAAGGAAGCAGATGTCTGGTATGTCGATGAGGTCAACCTCTCCTTTACCAAGATGCCCTTAATTGCCCAGGAAAGCCACAGTTCCTTGACATAACTAATTTAATGAACAAAGTTCTTTTCAGAATTTCTTTTCTTCTCAAATAAGCTGGCATTTTTTTTGTTATTTCTCATCACCTATAGATGTCTATAACCTGCCCCCCACCCCCCAAAAAAGAGAGAAATTGTATAGATTATATTAATTGTAGATCTTAAACTAATTTCTTGGGTAAAATTCTACACACAGCCCGCTTCTGTGGGCACAAGGAAAATGCCTCAAATATCCTGGAGCCCTTTTGTTTTAATTAAATACACTCCCTGCCCTTAGGTGGTCTTCAAAATAAATTGAGTTCCAGAACTTTATCCCTGGGAAGTTATGAGAAGTCACAAAAAGAATATTGCTTCTCTTGTAAATATGATCCTCCCCTAAACCCCCAAGATGGCCTTTTAAGCAAAGTTCTGGAGCATTGAAAAGGCCCTACTATATTATTTGTCCTAAATTAATATTCTTCCTTCCACAAATATTTACTGAGTGAGGGCCATGTGTTGTCTTAGTTTGTGTTCTTCCAGAAGCAGACCTTGGGACAAGGACTCAAAAGCAAGTAGATTATTTGGGAGGTGAGGGAAAGATCCTAGTAGAGAGGATACAGGAAAGGGAAGACAGCCAATCCAGGGACGCTATTAAACCAGCTCCTATACTGGACTACTGGGGGTTAATCGCACAGGGAAACACTATCAGGATTATCCTGCCTGCCCTACTGTGGCTGAGGAGCCTGGGGAGATAGTAATGTCCTGGGCTGGGCCTGGGGGGTTAATAATGTCCTGGCAGTTCCAGCTTGCCACACCTGTGGGACTAGAGGCCTACTTCGGTTGTGGAGAAATCACTCTCAGGCACAAAGATGCAGATCTAAAGGTCCAAGGGATAGGTGTGTTTCTGGGGTAGCATCGGCCACCTGTGTACAACACAGTGCAGGGCCCAAGAGGGACCGAGTAGAGATTTAAGGTGAGGTCTCCGCCTTCCAAGGAGTTAAAGACACGCAGTGAACTCAGGAGAAGGTGAAAGTCAACATAAAACATCATAGAAATCTTATCTGAAAGTTAAATGAAGTGGTCATCTGGGTCCCCATTAGCCTCCAGCTGACGGAGCAGCTCTCTCCTCACCCTTCCTTAGAAGTGCAGTTGCGGAGTGTTCATTTTGGCCATTGTACCCTGCCAAGACATAGCAAACGGACTTTTGAAAGAGCCCTGTCCTCCTCTGGGAAGATTAGCAGCTGCTCCTGGCAGGACCCCTGAAGCAGACAGGAATGGATGGCCCTCCCTGTGCCAAGGCTTGTCGTCTGCTGTCTGGTTGAGGAGCACCCATGAAATCAAGCGAAGAGGAACAGGGGCTTTGGTGTGGCTCCATGGGGAGGAAGGGATGGGAAATATGCTACAGGACCTCGCCCAATGCTCCAGGGCTCAAGGTAAAGACACAGAGAGTGGAGCAGCTGAGCTGGCATCTCATGTGCTCTGGATCAACCATGGTGGCTGGGGGTGCAATGCATGGAGGAGTCTGAGGGCACACCAACCTCAGGATGCTTTGGTTGCTTTGTATTGTCTTCCATGGGGGGTGGGGATGGGGAGGCTTGTGGTCGCTTTTCTGCCATGAGATATTCTGGGGTAGTGGTTAAACTTAAGAGCTTTGACACCAGAGCTGAATTTGTCTCTTTCCCATCACATGCTAGATGTGTGACCTCAGACAAATTGCTTAACTTCTCTGAGGCTTAGTTACCACATCTGGAAACAGGGATGCAGATATCTACCTCAGTGTGATGAGAATCAAATGCAGTAATTACATAAAACACTTAGTATAGCACCTGGCCCCCAGAAAGCAATCTATTGTAAGAATTTTCAGCAATGATATTTTAGTTTGGGGTAGCTACATAGCCACTGGAGAGACCCTCCTGGGTAATGGTGTAGAGCTCACCTCATTGAAGGATGAGCTTCACAAAGAAATGTGGCTTCAGTGGCTGGCCAATGGATACAATTCAAGTAAACCACAAAACAAATTACAGGGGCCTGGAGCAGAGAGAATGAAGCAAGGATCTCAGAGTCCAGGGTTCTGGCAAGGGGGCTTTGGGCCCTACAAGAAAATGCCTACTTATAGCCTGGAGCCAAATGGGAGGCCTGCTCTTAAGATATAAATAGAGGAAGCAGTTGGGGGTTAATGTTCCCACAGGCACAGAGATGGCTCCAACTCAAACCACGCTGGGTTAGAAGTTTTAAATATATTTCTCATACCCAAGCTCTCTCAGTAAGGACCTTTCCAATGACAAGGAATAGAAAACCCAGTGAAACTGGCTTACCGACAAAAGGGACTAATTGACTTATAAAGTCAACAGTCCAGGATTGTCTGTGGCTTCAGGCATGGCTGGATCCAGGAGGTCACATTGTGTCATCAAAATTTCTCTTTCTCAATATCTTGCCTCTGCCTCCCCTGTATTAGCTTTGTGTTCAGGCAGGTTCTCGTAACAGGATTGCAAAGATGGCCACTGATGTTCCTGTCCTTCTTCGAAGAAAAGAGAGTCACTCCTGTGTGCCTGTCTAGTGCCCACATCAATCCCAGAGAATGTCTCTAGCCTGGCATGGGTCATATGCCCATCACTGGACTAGTCACAGCAGCCAAGGAAATGGAGTATTTGCTGCACAGACCTAGGATATGGTGGGCAACCCCACTGGACAGAGGTACTGAACAGATTGTCATAGCATCTATATGAAGCCGACATAGAACACGGAGCAATTCCCTAAAGAGATGCCAAGTAGACAGAGACTTGTCCATTACCGTTCAGACGAAGGGTGATTAGTTTTTGAAAGATCCTGACCAAGTGTCATGGGAGTGAATTTCATAGCATGAGCTAATCTCAACTGGTGTGGACTGATTGCACACTTATCTCCAGAACTACTGGAGACCCTCGGCCAACACTATGGATTCTATTAACTAATGATGAATAATGTTCTGTAACCATGGATCCATGGGTGGTTCGGTACAGAATCGGCTAGGGAACACTGTTCAGTGATAATAATTGGGTTTATGATTTGCACCTGATTTTGGTGGAGCTAAAGGGATGGATTTCAACCCTTAAGGCTAGTCACGTGACTAGAATGTGCCTACATGATCAACTCACTATAAAATACTCCCTATGAGTAGACTTTGGGCTTCCAACCAGCAGTGGTTGGAGACTTGGGAACAGAGTGCTCCTGTGTGAGTCTCGTGAATAACCACTGTGGACACTGCAGGAAGACAAATTCCAGGGATGTAACAACTTTTGTGTGGATTGGTGCAGCAGATGTGTCCCCACCCCCTCCCTCCACCCCCGCCTCCCCATGACCTCGGCTTCCTGGTATTCATGCCTTTCCTTTGAGTACTGGCTGAACCTGTTGACTCTAATGAATAGAATATGGCAAAAGTGATGGAATGTCACTTCTGAGATGAGGTTACGAAAAGACTGTGTTTGGGGGAGGGAGGGAAAGATGATCGGTGGAACACAGTTGGAGGGAAGGATGAATCTATTCTGTGTGGTGCTAACATGGTGGTTACGTGCCATTACACATTTGTCCAAACCCATAGTATGTACAACACTAAGAGTGACTCCTAAACTATGGACTTTAGTTAATAAAATGTGTCAATGTTGGCTCATCAACTACAACAAATGTATCATATTAATGCAAGACGTCAATACTAAGGGAAACTGGTGGGGGGAGTATTGAGGAGAAGTATGGGAACTCTTGTTATTTTCTGCTCAATTTTTCTTTAAACCCAGAACTGCTCTCAAAATAAAGTTTATTAATTAGAGAGACAGACAGACAGATAGACAGACTGTGGCTTCCATCTGTTACCCACTCTTTCTCTCCCTCTCAGGGCTCTTGTCTTGGGGGAAGCCAGCTGCCATGTTGTGGGCCACCTAAGGAAAGGCCTACATGGCAAAGAATTGATGTCTCCAGTCAACAGCTACGTGAGTGAGCTTGAAAGCAGGTCTACCCCAGTTAAGCCTCGAGATGACCACAGCCCCGAGTGATACCTTGATTACAATCTGTGAGAGACCCTAAACCAGAGGTGTCTAATTAAGCTACACCCAGATTCCTGACCCACAGAAACCATGAGATAATAAAGTTGTTTTAAGCCACTGAATTTTGGCATAATTTTGTTACACAGCAATAGCTTACTAATACAGTTGGCCTGTTCCTTCACCATCAGTTGCGCCTCTCAGTGAGCTGCCTCACCCTTGATCTGAGGAGTGGAAAATCAAAACCCAGACTTCTCATAAGAAGCCGTGAATTATCTGGACACCTCAGACACCCATTGCCAGTGCTCTAAAGAGGTTTAAATTTATTTCCAGAAATGATGCTGTGTCCTACAGGGTTAAGAGGGCTGCTGGATAAGTTAAGTGCTAGGAAAGACTACATGGTTTCTGCTTGTTATGCTTTATACCTGGAGCTGTTTACAGCTATTTATATTACACTTTTGTGGTATGTGTTTTGTTTCCTGCCCCCCACCTTGTAATTATAATATTTTAGTTCATCTTATAGTTTATAAGTTCTTCTGTATCATTTATTCCTTAGTCAAGTTCCCCGAGCAGTGGGGATTATTATCTTCATTTTACACTTTAGGCTTAGAGAGAAGAGGTGACTTGCTCATGTCTCACAACTTGCAAGAGATTTACTTTAAGGTCTCCAACTGTCTTTTGGGGAAATGTTTATTAAGCAACTGCTAAGAATGCAATTCTCTGCTAATTGCTGCAAGAATACTGACAATAATAGTCTCCATTGAGCAAACTCCTGCCCTGTCCAGGCATGGTATTAGGCATTTTAGACACACAATTTCATTTCATCTCCACAATGATCTTTGAGGTTCAAGGGTGTGATGATCCCATTCGTAGATGAGGAAACAGGCACAGATTGCAAAAGTGACTTGCCCAGTGTCACATAGGAGCTAAGGGAAGGGGCTGGAATGTCATACCCAGGTCTGGCTGATCCAAAGATGGAGCTCTTAATTACTGTGCTGCGGTGCCTCAGACAGGCTCCCAAAGCAGGAGGGAGCCAGGCTGCACACACTCCTGGATTTTAACCACAATGGGAAGAGCCCGATGAAGACAGCACTGGGGGCTTGTCAGTTGAGTCAGTGGCTAAAGCAGGGCGGGAGTGTAATTGGAAAGAAGGAGTTGTTCCTGGGAATCGTGGCCGGCAGAGAGAGAAGCTTCCTGGGGAGAGGGGGCCAGGGGAGGTAGAAACCTCTACCAGCCAGGCTCCAGAGGGCCCCTGGAGTGATGGGAAAACTCTCTCAGGCCTCCTGGCCACACTGTATACTTGTTCACAGTCAAATCCAGCCTTTGAAACTATTGACATGTCCCCCTCTGATCATCACTGGGAAGGATTTAGGAAGGGTTCTATCTCACCCAACCATCCCCATTTAACCACAATCCCCCAGGCCAGCACTCTTGCCTGCAACTACTGCCCATGCCTTGAGGGTGGTGCCTAAGGCCTCTACTCAAAATGTGAGTCTGAACCAGCAGTACCCACATGGCCTGGAGCTTGTTGTAAACTCTCTTGTTAGCTGGCTCTCAGGCCCCACCCCAGACTTCCTGAATCAAATCTTGTATGCTAACAAGATTCCCAGGGTGACTCATATGCCCGTTAACATTTGAGAAGCTCTGGTTGTTGGAACATGATTCCCCCAGGTCTCTCATATGTCTGCACATCTTGTGAGGAGAGTCACCGATGTTCCAGACTCTTCTGAAGGATGTTGGTGTGACGAACATCCTTGGAAGATAAGGAGTGTCTCCTTCCAGAGCATGGGGCAGATTTGCTTACTACTTATAGAAGATTCTAGTTCCTAAGATCAGAGTTCCTCTCCTGTAACACAACCACTTATCTTCTGGTGCCACCTGGTCCTCTTCACTTTATTTTGTGGGAATTAAGGCTCGAAACCAGCACAAATGCCGATGCTCTAGCCATGGCACTGCTGGATAAACTATCCTTCGTGTCTGAGTCAAGGGTCTAATGTCTTTAGCCAACATCCACGAAAATGTGGCAGGCTAACTTGTTAGTTTGCAAATAGCGTAAAATCTGACTCTTCACAGTTCTCCACCCTGGTTTCTCTACACTTAAATCACCAGAAAGCTATACTAAGTTCTACACTCAGGTTTTACTTTTCAAACTATATAGAAAATGCATATTATTGCAGACAAATCAGAAAACACAGGAAAAAGTGTTTTTAAAACACCTAATAGTCCCTCTATTCAGAGAGCTAGAATCTTCTACATCTTATCTCTTTGGTATCCATCCTTCTAACCTCTACAAAAGAAAGACAAAAATAATGGGGGTAATAATACATGTATTTTCTTTTCATGGATCTCTTAAAAATACAGCATAGCTATCTTTCCAAATCACTAAATTGACGTCCACATCATACTTTGTAATGCTTGCCTGATATTTATCATAGAGACAATTTATTCAATCCCTATTTGTGCACATTTACTTGGTTTCCTATTTTTTAGCTATTCTAAACAATTTTACAAGAAACATCCTTATATGAACATTTTAGTACAATTTTCCAGTGCTTTGGGTACATTCTTGGAAGTAAAATTACAAGCCAAAAGATAATTAAAACAATAAACACTTGTATAGCTTTTAACTCATGCCAGATACTGTTCTAAGCACTTTGCCTAGATCAACTCATTTAATCTTCGCAACAACTCTATGAGAAAATAATTCCTGTTATCCCCATTTTAGAGAATTTAAGGGACTTACTCAAGGTCACACAGCTAATAAATGATGGAGCCAGGATGTGAACCTAGGTAGTCTGGTGAAGGAGTCCAGCATATGCTACTCCAAAATATGCCACTTCAGCATAAGGATTATTTTGAGCTGAAGGCAATTGAGAATCAACAGATGTAGGAAAAGTTCTTTGTTTTCCCCTTATCTGCCTACAAGCGGGGCATAAATTTCCCTTTGCAAAGGCGGCATAGGTTTCCATCCTCTCTCCTGTACCAGAATGAGGGGAGCGACTGTTATCAATGGAGACAGCGAGCCAGTATGAAGATGAGTCTGCATAAACATAATCTTATTAAAATCATCCTTATCTTCCATTTGTTTCCCCAGTATATTTCCTAGTCACTTTCCCACAATTTTTTGGCCCTAGAAGCCCAACCTCCTTTTCTTTTGTCTAATCACATCTCCTCGGTTTATCACCTTTTGTTAAAATGGTATATAAGTTCTCAAGTCTAACTGCTTCTTTGGGGGTTCACGTCTTTTCTGTGAAGTCCTCATGAATGTAAAGCTATTAACATAAAAAAAATGTGTATGCCTTTCCTCCTGGTAATCTGTCTTTTGTCAGTTTAATCAGTTCTATGAAATGCTGGTAGGTTCTCTGGTCCAATGAGTTTGGAAAATGGTACATACTAGATTTTCTCTTTTGAAGATTTTCAATGCACCTTATCATATGAAAGGCTATTGGGCCTTATTGTACAGAAAATATTCTCTCCTCCTCACATCCATGGGGGACGAATGGTTCCCTGACTCATTGATGTTAGGTTTGGTCATGCAACTTGCTTTGGCCAATAGAATGAGGGTAGAAGTAACAGGGTGCCAGTGCAGAACTTAAGAGGTATTGTATGTTTCTACTTGCTCCTCTGGAATCTTTTGACCTGTTCCATGGGAAGAATGTGCCCCAGGTAACCTCCCTAGCCTGCTTCAGAGACAAGAGGAAAGAACCTGAACTCAACACCAGCCTTGGGCAGAACCGCCCTGTGAGCCCTATAAACTTGTAAGCGAGAACTAAGTGCTTATTTCTGTGTGCCACTGTGATTTTGTGGTGGTGGTTATGCAGCAAAAGCTGTTTAATACAAAAATCCAAAAGCCCTGTAATAAGCATATTTATCATTGTTCAGCTTTTCATTTTCCCAAACTTATTTGTTCATGGAGCCTTATTTTACTCCATAGAAAGCACATTGGGAAATAGCGATATAAACAAACCACTTGATAGTGATTATATTCTAAAATCAAATTATTGGAATTTAATTTTGAAAAGAGGCATTCTTTGCAATAGGATTCACTACCTAATCAATAGAATCATTTACTTCTTAAATTTCTGGGAAGTATACCAAAGAGCCTTGCTGGATTCATCATATTATTATTAATTATACCTACTACTTTTTCTCTTGAAGGCACCAGCTTAATCTGATCCACTTAGAAAGGTATTTGCCAAGGGAAGATTGAAATATAATTAGTTTCAACACACGTTTGCCTCTTTCTCTACACACACACACACACACACACACACACTTACAACTTTAATCTTATGCACTTTAAACATTTGTCCAACGAAACCTTGTAACTGCTAATTTGTCCATTCATTTCATGTAAAATTTACACTGCATAACCTAATTGGCAATATTAGCCCTCATCATCATCCCAATCAGCCAATTTGGACTTAATTCTTGTTTAAAAACTGGCTTAAAAATTTTATAGGAATGATAATATGCTTTCCTGGGACATATTTATTTCTGAGTAGTAACTCAAAGACTAACAGATAAGACATAGAGCCTTGCCATGAATTTGATGCTTAAATAAAATGCTTTCACTTTCAATATTTCTTTCTGAACTTCTTTTTGCTTTGCCCAAAGGGACTTTCCCTCAGGGAAGACAATAATCTGAGATTGAAGAAATGTGGGTATTGAATGAAAAGTGTCATCACAACGGCCTCACTTTATGAGATATCGAAAGTGAGAACTTCCCCACACAGGCCAACCTTGCTTCCGCCACCACACTTCATCCTTGGCAAGATTATGTGTAGGACGCTGATAGCCGTGAGGCTCTATAGTGGGGTCCTGGTGCCCAGATACAGATGTTTCTAACTGTTCCTTTGTCTAGTACCCATAGGTTTTTCCAGCCCAGCGTAACGTCCCACAGTAAAATTAAGGATGGGTTTTTGGTTAGACTGAGGCATGTATTTCTTCTGAAAAGTGGGACAAAGGCAATCTGAAAGGGGAGGCGGGAAGGGAGGACTGGCCTGACATCACTCACAGCCGCATTTTCAGGGCAGATCGGTTTTAGGAATGAGTACACACAGAATCTGGGAACAAATTCCTTAAAGCTATCTGTGCCCAGTGACCCCTTGGCAATCTTCTCATACCCACAGGAGAAGGAACACTCCAGACAGAAGTATTATACAAGTAAAATACAATCATGTCTTAAAATTTCTCCAGATGAGGAGCTGTTTTTCTCATTTTTCTTAACCAAAATATTATACTTTTACTTTAAAAAGAGAGGCATCTCGAAGGTTTTTTTTAAAGATAATTTATTGTTAAATGAAGTCACAGAGCAAAATGGAGTGGGACGGAGGTCAAAGATAAATTTTAAAAATAGTTTTAGTCAAATACATTTCTGGATTTCCTAAGGTTAGAAACAGGAAAAGCGTCAAATGAAAAGGTAATCATTCTTTTTAAAAGGTCTGGATTTGAAAAGAAAACAGCTTTTCTCTGAAAACACAAATCATCCTTATTACATGAAAGCCATGATTTAACAGACTGAGAAAAAAGATTTTTTTAATTAATAAGTAAACTATCTCCCAGATATACTTAGGAACGTTTGGTTTTAATGAGTGAGTTTTTAAAAATCATTGTTTCAACCTTGCAAACCAAAATGAATGCACAACTGATCGATTTATCCTGAGGTGTGTCCCATTGCGTCTTCACATGCTTCCTTTTCTGCAGCTATCAGCCAAGCAGGTTTGAAGAAAGAGGATTAGAAAGAACTAAGGTCAGTTCCCTAGTGAATAACTTAACAAAATAAAGCCTGCTTTTCCATTAGCATTACACATTCACAATCGCTCACTTCTACCTACTTTACTGATATAGTTCAGATTCTTTCCACACCTAGAATGATTTGCCCGAACTTAATCCAATTCCCTAAAACAAAATCTCATGTGGACATCTCAGGATATTGCTCTGATCGAAGGCCATGTTCTCCTGCACTTGTCTCTCCTGCCATGCTGCCCACGGTATTGTTCTGAGCTCATTTAAGTGTCCCTCTTGGGACAGAGCAAAGCCTTGGGAACTCTCTTAACATAATTTTAAAATTGCATTTACTACTTGCCTTAAATGACAAGATTTTGGAATCAGAGAGAAAAATCATTTTTATCTAAAAATGCTGTGTAATTTACTCTTCTATTTCTTGCTCTGAATGACTAAGGAGACTGTAGGGTCCCAGAACGCTCCTCTGAGGGGCCCCCGCTGAGCCTCACCCCGGCAAACTTGGGACCATCCATCCCACTGCAGGCTCCACCGAAGGGATGTGTCCAATCAGTTAGGAGCATCACAGAATAAACACTGTTAAATCTGAAGAGGACATCAGACAATTTGGCTCTATAGGCCTCCAATGACTTTAAATGAGTGTGATTATCATCATGCCTGCTCTCTTCAAAACAAAAGTCCCTGTTATGGCTACAGGGTACCCACAGAGCCATCAATGGTGCTTTCAAGACAGCAGGAAGCCATCCACAGAAACCCGGAGTTGGAGCTTACAGTACCCTGTAACCCTCGAGCACTTGATATAATATTAGAAGTATTCAGAGGAAATATTCACGGTTTGTTCTTTCCAGTATTGGAAGAGAAAAAGCCATCTGCCACTTTCTTCACTCAAAAACCTCAGGATTGGCAGGAGGAAGAAGTAAGGGTTGGAGAGAGGCAGGGCAGGCAGGGGGTGAAGCCAGAGGCAGCCTGGGCCCCCGCACCCTCCTGGCCCAGCTACCCTCTCTGCTTCTGAGGCCAGTTCACCTGAATTCACAAAGTTTCTTCATTTCACACCCAATGCCACGAGTGTCACTTACACTAAACTAAACATTTAAAAGAAATGTGTACCATCACAACAACATCCAGGTTTTGGAGTTGGACTTTTGACATTATTCCTTATTTGAATACACCTTTGCTTTACCTGGGGGATGTAGGTGGGTTATTTCCTTGCTTTTGGCTTAGACCTAAGGCTCTGGCAGAATTTCTCTACAATGTTGATGCAGTCAAAGTCCTAACGGCAGTTGACTCTGGGTCCCTGGAGAAGACACCCACCCTGATGAACTAGATTACTAGAAACATCTGCATCTACCTCCTCCCAGACGGTGTCAGGTCCTAGGTATGGCCACTAGTTCCCATTGTGAGTGAAACCCCCTTGCGGCATCCCAGAAAGCATTTTTCCTAAGAATTCTTTTAAAATGCTGTTTCTCTCACAAGAAAATGCCGTTTCTCTTTGCTACATTTTGCCTTATGAAAAAATAGGAAAGTATTTGGAAACCCCAAAATACATATCAGGAGAGTTACACAAGCCTGTGGAGACATTACCAGATGCCAAGGGTGCGAGGCGCTTTGCCAGAGCCTGAGCTCAGAAGCAGTGGATGGAAGGAACCAGACGGAAGCCATTGCTCCCAAACTCGGCCATCAGTTGACCTGACCTTCCCAAAGAGGTGAAAACAGTATGAACCTTTTTCCTCTTTTTAAAAAAGGCATCTTACATTGTAGTTTGGGGTTTTTCGATGTCATGAAAAAGATTTAGCGAATTCCAAGCATTCTGGTTAACAGGAAATAGAAATGGAAATGGAAATAAAAAATGGAATGGAACTCAAGTCTCCACAGATTGAACCCATATGGGTGTCACAGCTTACTGAATTAGCACCACTTTCATAGCAGTGAAGACACCCGGGGCTGAAATTTCTAAAACTCACTTTTTCCATTCCAGAGGCTTTTTCCACACTCTTCCTCAAAGTGACCCACGAAAGAGGAGTTCTCCCCTCCCTCCCTATTTCAAATCGTGGCCATTTTCCTTTTGCTCTAGTTGATTTTTAATTTTCTCATGAAATTGAGACTTTGGGGGGAAGTATGCAGCAGCAAACTAGAAATATACTCCTTTTAAAAACCATTTGAAAATTTTTTAAAAACCAAATTCTCTCGATTATGATAAGATGCCGCAACATTTTATTTTCTTCCCCAGGTTGGGCTTAGAGGTATCTCTAGATTAGACTCCTGGGGACATGAGTGACACTCAAGGGCAGTGTGGCCCAACTTGACCAGGGTAGCAGAAGAGCTGGTCCAGCCCCACCCAGCCTGCTTGAGTCAGCACTCATCCGAGAGGTAATCGCTGCCTGGGAACTCTGTGGCTTCGAGCTCCACGCTGGACAGGAACCTTCTCAGTGTCTTGCGGTAGCTGTAATCCAGGGTAGTGGTGTAGACGATCTTGGGGAATTTGGGGTAGATGATGGTGGTGCTGAGGAAACGGGTGGGCTTGTGACGGGGCTCGAAGCGCAGCTCGGCCTTGTAGTTGCGCCACGTGCAATTGGGGATGCAGGTGACTGTCTGGCTGTAGGAGGTCACTACCAGGCCAAGGGGCAGATGGACGTCGTCGATGAAGTGCCGCTCTGAGTCGTACTTGACTGAGGAAGTATACCTGGGCGGGAGATGGAAGGCAGCATGACACCATTCCTCTGAGCTAGGGGCACAGGGGTCCCTACTATGACCTCGAACCTCTCGTTCAAGGGGTGCAAACCTTGAAATGTGTCTACTCTCGTCAGAAGCAGCATACAGTTGATGAAGCACTTACTCTGTGGTACTATTCAAAGCACTTTACTTCTAGGATGTAATTTAATTATCCCAACAATCCCTGGGAGAGGAAATCGAGGTACAGAGGTTAAGGTGAAAGTGGGAGCGAGTAGTGAGGCTGGGATTGAAACGCAGGTGTGCAAGATTCCAGGGTTGGCCTTGCACTCACTGTTGATCATTGCAGGACGCAGCCCAGGGAGTCTACGCTCATTTTCTTAAGCTATGAGAGCTTGGTCAAATTAACTTACTTAACTTCTTAACTTCTTCAAGCCTCAGTTTCCTCTTTCTGTAAAAGGTGCCCACTAATAACTGGGTAGAATGTTAACACAGCAAGTGCTGGTGGTATTAATGATTATGTGATAAGGTAGATTCTACTGCTGCACTAGGGGTGAACAGTTTCTCTGTGCCCTAAAGTTATCAATCAGCTCTTTAATGAGAGGATGAAGGAACCCAGAAATCCTAGACGCTGGTTCTGAATGCTTGGTGATACCAAGTACTGGTACTTGGTCCACTTTGGCCTTTGGTTTCAAGATCCCTCAAACCCAGGGACTCCGAGACCTGACCTTATCAATAAAAGCCAATTACAATCCTGATTTCCATAAAATAACCCAACATCCATGTTCCTTAGCAGCTACCTTATTCTTCTTAAGTCCTTTGGTAATTTGGGAGTTAATTTTTTTATGTAAGCAAAGTGTAAGTTCATTTTACTTTATAATTATTGCAGCTTCATAGATACTAAAATATATAGAAGCATCACACATAGACGCATCTAACAGCACTGCCCCCCACAAGCCCCTACCCACTGGTCAGGAAGTAAGAAGCAGCGTTCTTTTCAGTGAGTCAGATGGAAATGCCTATTCTCCTTGGGCAAGTAGGTAAGAAGCTGGTGAAAGCTAATGTCATGAAGTCATGTCCTCATTTTGTTCAAAATACAAGCTCTGCAGGAATAAAGGCTGAACTGCTCACCTCCAAACTGGTGAGCCTCCTTTGTTCCATGTCAAAGGGCCCTTTGTGTTAAGGCAACTGAAAATCCAGCTATAAAACCACCGGCTCCCAAAAGTAAAATTCCTTTCTCTAAAAAGACATATCTTGAACAGAGCCTCTCAGTGAATCTCTGCTCCCAGATAATCCTGGATGAGATAAATTCCCAAAGGAAGAATGGTGCTTGTCCAGTGAAATTATAACATAAAACAAGGTGACAGTGTGAAGTAGGGCTGGGAGGTGGGGCGGGGGTGGGGAAACGGGGCAGCAGCTTTTAGAAAGAGGAATTACTTTATTGAAAAAACTTAAACATCTGATGGCCGTGATCTATGAGGTGCAAAGAGCAAGTTGCGGGACTTTATATAGAACATGATCTTGTTTTGATTTTAAAATTGCATCTAGATATTTAATTGGTTAGAACGCAGAAAAAAAGCTGGAAAAGTACCCCCCAAACCATGAATAGTCTTTGGCACACTGTCGAGATTAATTTTTTAAAAAAATAACGAGCATTAATTTCTAGGATAAAAAATGAAAATGATAAAAAAATAAAATATAATCGGAGCCTGCTATATTTACCTTACTTCCGTCGGTGGTAAGGGATCAAGCTCCACTCCTTCGCCAAAGGACAGGGGGCATAACCTTGGCGTGCAGGTGAAGGCCAGAGGAGTGGGGAGCGAGGCTGGATTCTGTGAGGATGGAGAATGCAGTTAGACTACAGGCCAAGCTGATGCATCCCCCGTAGAAGACCCTGGCTCTGTGCCTCCAGGTGACAGCCCAATTGTGACCTGTGTCCCCCTTCCTGGGAATAATGCCAGAGAAGGGCCGACCCACAGCATAGAAAGAACAACGGACAGGGAGCCAAGAGGTCTGAATTTGAATCTCAGATCTATCACAAATGTGCTGTGTGCCCTCACAAAAGTCACATCATACACCCTCTGAGACCTTATCCGCACACTAAGGGAAGGGAAGCGGTGCCCCCTTCCATACTGAGGTTCTGTGAAAGGCTGAAGAGAGGAAATAGACAAGAGCTCAGTGTCATCATCGTGGGCAGACCTAGAGGCTGCTGCGCCATCTCCCAGCAAGGCGGTCAGGAAACCTCAATGAACTGGGACTCCATTAACCAGAACCCTCAGTTATGTGCCTCCAACCCTGTCATTGTCTCAGCAACACTTTAGAAAAGTCCAGAACAAAATAATTCTACCAGGGATTTTTTTCAATATACTGCAGATCCAGTCTAACTTTCCCCACCTCCTCTGCCTCTGGAGAGACCAGATCAACACCCAACCAAGTCGAAGCTGTCTGTAAATTTATTGGTACAATGAACACCAAAAAGTTCTCTACATCATTTCCCACTATCCAGAAAACTCAGAGCCAGAGCACAGCATGCCTAGAGGTTAACTGGCTTCCAGCCTGAGCAGCGTCAGACTTTCTGATTCATCATGCAGCCCGAATAGGAGACAGTTCCTAGACACAGGTGCTGTCTTTTACCCGATTTGACTGGAATCAGGGCTTCTGTGTTAAGTGTGCAATACACTTAACACTTCTGTGTTAAGGGTTCCCGGGTTTACTGGGGATCTGTCATTTTCTTTGCCTAATTTGAGAGAAGGATCTACACTTGGGCCAGGGTGTGGAGTTGGCAGCCCCACCCCCACATGGTCCAGGACAGAGAAGGAAGCAGACATTTCTAGAAAGTTGGCTGTCAAACTCTTATGTTACCAGGACAAGGTGTCAAGTGGAAGTATGGGATGGAAATGCAAAAGCCAAAGGGCACCAGGGTAGGTCGGATTGTGGAAGAGGGTTCTGAGGGTCCAGCGCCTGAAATTAGGTGGAGAGTTTAATAAGCCCTGGCTGGGGGAGGGGCTGTGGTTAAGAACCAAGGTCAGTGAATGGGGGAGGGGTAAAGTGTGGGCACTGGCTACCGCAGAGCTTTTGGTAACAGTCCTCAAGTTGTGACAGTGGTCCCTGCTCTGCCCCCAGATCCCTGGCTGCTGGATACTCCCCAACCCAGGGGGCACCTTCCAGACAGTCCTGAGGACATAGCCACCAAGAGATAGCCTTCTTCCAGGTATCCATACAAGCACTTGGTTCTCTTGCCCCTGACTTCTCTGCTCCTTCATCCCTGCCCACCCAACAGACACTCACTGAGCACACACCTTGCTCCAGGTGCACGCTGACGGTGGCGTGTGTTATGACAGATATACGAACGAGGTGCCACCAGAGAATGAGGATGAGGCCACAGACTCCCTCATGGCTCTGGGAAGCATTAATGAAGACTTCCCAGAGGAGGTGACATCGAAAGGTCAGTGGGGCTTTGGGAGAGGTAGAAGGGGGTGGCCTTGAAGGAAAATGCATGCCAGGTGGAAAGAGCAGCATCAGAGGCAGCCTGTGTCAGGGGGTGTGGAAGATGAGGCTAAAAAGGGCCAGATGGCCAGGGTTCTGAAGGCCAGGTTGAAGCAAGTGCTGCCTGCGGAGAGAAATGAGAGAATGCCCCGACGTCCACTAAGAGACAGGGTCAGTGCGTCAAGAATTCCCCATACTATCAAAGCGAGTGGGTCTTTAAGGTGCAGCAGTTGCCACTGACTACTTCACCCCGGGAGAGAGGGCTGTAAACACCCAGCCCAAGGGGCAAGGGGAGGACTGAGATCCCTACTCTGAGCTTTGACTGCAGGCAGGATGTGGCCTCCCCTGAGCTCTAGGTAAAGGCAATAAACACCACCACCTCATGATTTCTAAGACAAAAGAGACCTGTGTGTGTGTGCGCGCGTGCGCGTGCGTCTTTAAATAGAAAAATGTAAAAGAAAATAAAAGGATTAAATTTTGAAAGTTTCCACTCACCTAAATGCCTCCCACCCAGACAGTTAGGTGACAGGACAGGACCACCAGGAGGCCAGAGGCTCATGAGATGACTCCACCGAAGACCACTAACATAGTCCCCCAAAGCTGGCCCCGTTTGCTCTCTGAATTGGGGAGCTGGGAAGTTAGAGCACAACAGCCCTCTCCCCAAGACCAGCCAGAAGGGGTAAGGCCCTTGGGAGACGCCGACGGCTGGGACAAAGTCCCTGGGTGCCAGGCCCGCAATCCGGGGAAAACTGGGGTTCCCTCTCGGTGTCCCGGGATCCCCTCCCGCCCGACCGAGGCTAGAATGTGGCCTAGCCGTAGCCTGGTAGCCCCGGGATCAGCCACCCCGATGGGAGGAGGCGGCAGCTCGCCTCTCCCGGGGCACGCGCGCCTCCCAGGCGATGACAATTTTCCAGCCACCGGCTCCAGCTGGCCAGGCTCTCATAGCGCTCCTGCCCCGGGCTCCCGCCGATGGCCTCGACGTCCCGACCAGCGGTGGAGGCGCCGACAAAGCGCCCTGAAGTGGGACGCACGACCGGCTGATGGTCTCCTGGGGCCCAGCTGCGGGTGGGATGGGGAAGGACGGGGACAGCGGGACCACTCACCGGGGCCGCTGGGGTCGCTGCCGCGTCGGGCTCCAGAGCCCCGGGTGCCGGTGCGCGCTCTCCGCCGCTGCCACCACCCCCGGCCGCCACGAGCCCCCAGTGGCTGGGGCTGGGGCTGGGGGGCAGTCCTGAGTCCGGGCTGTCCAGGACGCCGTCGCCCTTCTTCTTCGTGTCCACGAGCTCGGGCACATCCTGCAGGCTCAGCCGGCCCACCATGGCTGTG